TTTTTTTTTTTTTTTTTTTCCTTTTTTTCCTTTTTTTTAATAAAAATGGTCTTTAGGTCGACTGCTGGCAGCAGCTCTGAGCAGAAAGCCCCTTCCTCCAGAGTCTGCTTACAAAAGAGTTCAGAAAGGGTCAAATATTGACCAATAATGGTTTTGGCTGCATTTGAATCTTGATTGTGGCTTCTGCAATGTACAGCAGGGAGGGGACGGATGGGACGGGACGAGGGGGGACAAGTTTTTCCCTTAGTCAGCAGGTTTGGTGACCAGGGAAAGGGGCTGCGTTTGCAGCACGGCCAGGGCAGCCTGCGGGGACGGGATGGCGGCCGCAAAGGACGGAGGCGAGGACAAGAGAGCCGTGGAGGGCACCGAGGTGAAGGGGATGGGTCTGGAGAGGAGCGAGGGCGGGCTGCCGAGGCTCGAGGAGGAGGAAGAGGAGGAGGAAGAAGAAGAGGTGGCTTTGCCCGAGAGGAAGGCGGCCGAATGCACGGCGAGCTGAGCCCTGGCCTCCGGCTTGGTGGTGAGCGAGAGGGGCTGAGCCTGTTCCGAGTGGGTGGCAGCCGGCGCGGCCGGGGATGCCAGGGCAGCCGACGGCGTGGCCGGTGAATCCAGCATGCTGCCGTGGGAGGATGCGGGGCTGTCGCACGGTTTCTCGGCCGGCAGGTACTGCACGCACGGCTTCTTGCTCTTGGACGCCAGGGAGCCTACGAGCGATGGAGGATGGCGTGAGCGGCCGAAAGCCAGAGGAGGAAGGAGGCTGGCAGGGGGGGATACTCACTCTCCGTGTCGTGGCTTTGCTGCTGGGCCAGCTTCTCTCGCTTTCTCTTCTTTTTCTTGCCCTGGAAAATATTACAAAGTCCTTATATGGCTTTCTGCCACCGGAGAGACCTCGGGGAGAAATGGGGCTGACAGTGCCCCAGAGCAGCTCACAGGGATGCAGGAGCTGCTGAGGGTGGCAGAGCATCCCCCAGGGACTCGGCGCCATCACCCACCACCCTCAGCACCCCAAACACTGACCTCCCCGAGCACGGCAAGCAACCTCCCACCAGCCAAACCCCCCGGGAACCTGGCAAGGGGACAGGAGGGGAGACCTCCTCCCGGCTGGTCCGCCCCATGGCTTGGGGGGCCACACTTACATAGTTGTCCCGCGCCGACCATGTCGGGTAGAGCTGTGAGTGCAGCTGCCGCTCTTTCCGCGCGAGCTCATAGTACTTCGCCTGCTCCTCCCGCGACAGCGAGTGCCACTGCAGGGGGGAGAAGAGACCACGCTGCAAACCCCAAAGCAACGCTGAAAACCCCGGAGTAGTGCTGCAAACCCCAAAGCCACGCTGGAAACCTCAAAGCCATGCTGAAAACCTCAAAGCCACGCTGCAGACCCCAAAGCCATGCTGCAGACCCCAAGGACACACTGCTGGCCCCAAGGACACACTGCTGGCCCCAAGAACGCTGCAGACCCCAAAGCCATGCTGCAGAACCCAAGGACACACTGCTGGCCCCAAGGACCTCCCAGCCAGCCCCATCCCATTGCCACCCAGGTCACCACCAGCTCCCCGGGACCTCCTGGGCTGGTGATGCCCCAGGTCAAGGGGTCGAGCCATGGGGAGAGGTGGAGTAAAAGGTGCTGAAAGCCAGTTTACGGTCACAAACGGGCACCACGTGGGCATGAAGCTGCCAGGCAGAGCTCGCCGGTGCCAAGGGAGATGCCCGTACCCGTCTGCCCAGGATCTGGTTGATGGCGGCGCTCTCCTTCAGCGTGCACTCGGCCACCACCTTGGCCCTCATCTCCTTCATGTACAACATGAAGGCGTTGAGCGGCTTCTTGATATGGGGTTTCTTCTCCTCCTCCTTCTTCACAGTGACAGGGGATTTCCTGCAACAAGCAGGATGGTGGGTCAGGACCTGCTGAGACAAGCTCCCATCCCCGGGGCCGTCCCTTCCCGTCCCCGACTCACGAGTTGCCTCCGGGGCTGACGCTGGGCTGGGTGGGTTCCTGCTTCACAATGGGCGAGACGATGGTCGGGTGTGGGATGCCCGAGGGGTGCAGCCCGTGGGTGGGCGGTGGGACCATGTGTGGGGAGAAACGGCTGGACATCAAACTGCAGTGGAGGGAGTGGGAGGGGAGGGCTCATCAGCTCCCCACAGGCACCAACAGCCCCCGGCTTCCACCCCAAACTCTCCTGAGAACCTCCTGGGTTAAGAGACCACCAGCCCCAACCCAGTGGGGGTCTGGTTTTATACTGTATCCTGCCCCAGCTTGCAGGACAGTAACATGGACCCAACCTAAGCGATGCCCTGAGCCCATGGGACGTTGCTTTTCCCCCACAGAATCACCTGTGGGCACCATCTGCACCCTCCCAGGGGTATTTTCGGCCGAGGAGACCACCGCAACCTCCTGGGGCTGGTCTGTGCCCGTACGGAGTGGAGTGTCCCCGGGAGCACCCACTGCCAACACTGCTGCGGGGCCGAGTCCCGCATTGTCCTCAGGGAAGCAGCCAAAAACCCGCTGCCAGCTCCGGGACGCCCAAGGAGGGTCCCTCATCCCTGCCGAGACCCACCTGGACATGGAGGCGTTCATGGCAAGGGCAGGGTAGGGGTGCCGAAAGCCGCCGGGAGGGATGGAGTACACGGGCTGTCCTTGCCTGCAAACGCACAAGCTTTAGTGGAAAAAATATCCCTCCTCAATTCACGGGGGCCCTCGGACCGCTCCCCGGCCAATCTCCATCCCACCGATTCCCAAAACTTAGAGTGGTGGGGAGCTCCTCCCTTCCCAACCCCTGGAGCTCTTGGCATCCCACCAAGCTCACCATGGAAAAAGCGGATACAGTGGGAAGAGGCGGAGGGTCTCAGGGGGACGTGGGGTTCAGGGGGACATGGGGCTCACGGGACCTGCCCGGGGACAGGGCCACGGAGGTGGGAGCGAGCCCCCAGCCCAGGGTCGAGCCCATCCTTACTGCGGCACGAGCCAGCCCAGCGGGTGCGGGATCTGGCCCACGGCTCCTGGCGACAGCGGGTAGTAGGGGGGCAGCTCGGACGGGTGCGGCGGCCGCGGGATTCCTGCGGAGGGAGGGAGGGATGAAGGGGATGTGATGTTAAAACATGGACATGGAAGCCTCCGAGCACCCTGTCTGCCTCCGAGCGCCGCATCTTCCTCCGAGCACCCTCCCTCCGAGCACCCCATCTTCCTCTGAGCGTCCTCCCTTTGAGCACCCCATCTTCCTCCGAGCACCCCATCTTCCTCCGAGCGTCCTCCCTTTGAGCACCCCATCTTCCTCCGAGCACCCCATCTTCCTCTGAGCATCCCACCTCCCTCTGAGCACCCCATCTTCCTCCAAGCATCCCGTCTGCCTCCAGGCACCCCATCTCTCTCGGAGCATCCTGTCTGCTGCTGAGCACCCCGTCTCCTTCCGAGCACCCCGTCTCCCTCCAAGCACCCTGTCTTCCTCTGAGCACCCCGTCTCCCTCCCAGCACCCTGCCTCCCTCCCAGCACCCTGTCTCTCTCTGAGCATCCTGTCTGCTGCCATGCATCACATCTCCCTCCGAGCACCCGTCTCCCCCTGTCTGGAGCACAGGGAGAAGATGCTGAGATAACCATAACGGAGACCTGGGGGGATCCCCACGCACCCCAACCAAACCTGCGACCAAGCGAGGACCCACCCCCGGCCACTGGCCGCGTCCCCTTCCCACCACCCAGGGACCAGGCTGTGAAAACCATCCGGGAAGCAGAAGGACCATCCAATGGAGAGCACCCCCATTCCCAGGACGGCACCGATACCGTCACCGTCCCTTTGCTCACCCGAACGTGTCTGATGCCGTGCCCCCCGCCCAGCCCCACTGTGCTCACCCGTCTTCGGGTCGATCTCCGGTGAGAGGTGGCCGGGCGGCGAGCCTGGCGAGAAGTGGTCGTTGCTGTAGGTGATGAGCGGCGTCAACGGGTGCATGTGATGGGCGTGCTGCACCACCGGGACCTTGTTCGACTGCGGGGCAGCGAGGGAGAGCACGTGGGAGGGCGAAACAACGGCCACCCCTCACCCCACCCCCCCCCCCCCCTCGGGGCCATGGCGCACTGCGGGC